ACACTCTTGTTTTTTATATCAAGAACTTCCAACAGTGGCGGTGCTGGGTATTTTGTTTTGAAGCACTAAATTAATTCACTTGGGCTAGATTAAGAGAAAGAACAAGATGAATTTTGGAGAACAAAAATAAAATTAAGCAAATTTGTGTTCTAAGAATTTACAACTCTGTAATTGGAGAAACAAGGGTTTTAAAATTTTGGAATTGGAGAAACAAGGGTCTTGAAATTTTGGGGATAATTCAGTAGGAGGAATAAATTATCTAGCGCGCATTTCCAAAGATCGATGCAATATACTTAATTTAATAATGAGGTGTAAATTAAATATTTTATATATTTTATAAGAACTAATGCAACAGTTAATTTAGGACCGTTGTACTAGACTATAAATTACGTTGCATTTATAGCTTAATGCAACACTTGTATAAGAACCGTGCAATAGCTAACACAACCGTTGCATTAAACATACTCGTTGCACTAGACCGTTGCATTACACCGTTGCATTAGTGTCAACCGTTTCTATTGCTCGTTTATGTAGTAGTGTATAATATCATAGTACAGGCATTGTTCTAACCTTCACAAGAAACATTTTTAGTCATTGTTATAAAGTGGATAAATAGTGCTTAGATAAGATTTTAGGTTCGTCGTTATTGATTGTTGTTAATAATATAAATTCTAGTAGTAATTTGGAACGTTTAATTATCGTCAATTTCTTCCAAAAAAAAAACACAGTTTTATGCTATATTATTAATAATGTTCACTTTTTTACTATTAAAATTGCAGTTTGATTGTTTTATGTGAATGCAAAAACAAAAGCTTCTACTTAAGATTATAAACCCTAATTTTTTTTTCCATATTGTAAACAACAAGATTTGTATCAAAATTGTTCATATAATGATGTACTTTAGGGGGATCGACGGCGGCGGCGACTCTGCTACAATGGTTGCAAAGACGGAGGTGGCTTAGGCGGTGTTGCAATGGCGTCTGGTGATTGGACGTGGTGGTTGAAGTATTTAAGTGATGGTGGATAAGGGAGAATCATGGTAGCAAGAGAGCTGTGATAGATGAGGGTAGTGGTGGTGAGAGAAACAAGGATTTGAAATTACATCAATTATATATTAGAATTTCAAATTCTTAAAGCTATAGTTATGTTTGTAAGGGTTTGGATTTGGGCTAAATACAAATCCAAATTCTTAAGTTATCCAAACAACTTATTTGGCCCAATTTTAGGATTTCAAATGAAATCATTATATCCAAACACACGACTAAAAATTAAGATTTTTGCGACCGCCACAAACAGTCGTTGAAAATAGCAAAAACGGTCGCTGAAAATAATTACGACCGCCAACGATCATAATGAGGTGGTCGTTATTCACTTGGTCGCAAAAATTCATAATTACGACTGATTGACGGTCGCAAAAAATTTGCGACCGTTTTCTTTATTTTCAATGACCGGTACTAAAACGGTCGCAACTTCTATTAACTGCGACCGGTATATTAGCGGTCGCAAATACATACTTTTGTGACGGCTATAGGCGACCGCTAAAAGTTTTTAAAAAATAAAAATTTCCAAACAAATGAACCCAGCATATTTCCTAAAAAAAAAATCAAACCAACATCAAATTAACCCAAAAACAAACCACAAAATTCAAACAAAAAACAAACCGAAAATCAAACCAAAACCAAATCACAAAACAAACCAAAAATTAAACGAAAAACAAGCCATAGAAATCAAAAACCCAAAATCAAACTTAACAAAAATCAAACTAAAATTCAAACATAAAATTGAATAATAAACAAATCACAAAACAAACCAAAAACCAAACAAAAAACATGCCACAAAAATCAAACCCAAAATAAAAAAAATTAACAAAAATCAAACCCTAATTCCAACTGAAACTCAAACGCAAAATTAAAAAAAAAAAAAAAAAAAGAAAAGAAAGAAAGAAAACACAACCCATAATTAACAAAACATCAAAACGAAAATCAAACCCAAATAAAATGAACAAAAATCGAACAAAAAAACATTTTAAACACGAAAACATACCTCAAACCCCAAATTGACGTCGAATTTCACCTTGAATTTGGTTTTATAAGGCCAAATTCGACCATGAAAAGTCTAGATCTAGAGTTTTCATGGTCGAATTTGACCTTAAAAACCATTAACTTGTTTAACACCACCATCTAAGCATCAAACCAAAGGAAATAAGGACTGTGAGGGTGAAGTCGTCGAACTCGTCAACACCACTGACGTTGCTGGAAATTTCCAAGGGAAGAGGAAAGAAACCGGACTCATTAAAACCACCCAAGTGTTGCCAGAAATTTCCGTGAGAATAGGAAAGAGAAAGAGATGGAGAAGAGGAAAGAGAAAGAGAAGATAAGAGGAAAGAAAGGGTGGAAATGCGAAGGAGAAGAGAAAGAGAGGGAAAGGAAAGAGAAAGAGAGGGAAAGGAAAGAGAAGAGAGAGAAAGGAAGAGAAGGATGAAGCGGCGCCTAAGAGAATTAGGGTTAGGGACTGATTTGGGCACCCCTTTTATACCTTAATTTTTTTTTTTAAAAATAACATTATTGCGACTGTTTCTTAAACGGTCGCAATTTGCATCATTTGCGACCGCTAACAATAGAATTACTTTTTTTATTTTACATATGCATTTTATTTTAAAAAAAATGTTTATATACCTAGCGACCGTTTAATAGCCCGAAAACGATCGCAAATCGGCGACTGTTTTAAAAACGGTCGCAATTATGTGACCGCGTAAAATCGATCGCAAATTTCATATTTTGCGACCGTTTTGGTGACGGTCATAGAAAAACAATTGCAATTTGACCGAATTTTAGTAGTGATAGAACATTAGCGGATTCAAGTAGTGGCTTCATTTGATTATGATTCTGATCAGGCCAAACCAGAAAGGCTGCCTATCAGAACATGATGAAATCAGGAACAAAGTGGTCAGAAAATTGTGATCAATTTAGCTCCATTTTATTATTAAGTTTTGCAAGTAGTAACTTAATTTTATTATGTACTATTGCATAGCTATATCAGTTTCTGGTGTTGTTTAATAGGATATGCCTAGTGCCTCTGCATATCAAAACAAATGCATCGAAAATTGGGATGATATTTGTACATCGTTTGCACTTGATAGAGCGATAGGTGATGGTGGTCAGCAACATGAAGAAGTTGATGCTACAATGGAGAATGAGAATGATGTTGGAGGCTGTAGACACTTGATTGTGTTTCCCCAAAACCAAACCCAGTGATGAGTACCTTTCACGTCTTTGATTATCGAGTTGGGTGAAAAAGTTGAAGAGTCTCGTGAATTCCCTTTAGCCTTGACCATTTCTAGCCTTTCATTAAATGTTTTAAGCTAAAATCATTCATTTCGTGTCCTCTTTATAAAACATCCAAACCAGTCTGTTTTGGGACATAACCCTGGTCCAATTATTTTAAAGTTGGATGGGGCTTGAAAAGAGTTTTCCAACGATATTTTATAAGCTCAAATCCGATTTATAACAAAGAAGTTATGGCCAAAATACTGAACCGAGCCCGAACCAAGCCTTACCTGCGACCCAATGACCATGTGGAGGGTCCATTAACCTTAACTTCATTCCTAAACCATTTAGGATTTATTACAAGCTTCTTGAATCCTCAGTAGGTTTTTTTCAAATTTATCTTGTTTTTGAAAAGATAAAGATTTAAGAATTTTACATTGGATAAAACATCTTTTTTTCGATGATCCTAATCCTGGTCAAAATAGAATACGTACGGATATTTGGTTAACCCAATCCGATTGGGAATAGAATTCCGTACGGATTCAGTATTTTAAAAACCATCGTTGAGCGACACCACCGTCGTGCCGCGATAAGCCTGTCGTGCCACGACAAAGCTGTCGCGCCACGATGGAACCTGTTTTACTTTGATTTGAATTCTGACTCTTTTCTGATCCTTCGACCCTCTTTTTTCTTATAAATCGTATCACCCCGTTTTCAATCATCAACAAGCTTGATCACCAACAATCATCATCTAATCCTCTCTATAAGCTAAAGCTTTTCTCTCTCTTCTTTCTTCTTTTTCTAGCCTTAGCTTAAACACATCCCAGCACGTCCTAATACATCCTTGATACTTTTCCTTAATCAAACACCATACCTCCATCACGAACTTTGAATACTCCAAGCCAAGCTCGAAGTTGCCTTCGACCTCGACGTGAAAGGTTGATAGTTCTGAGGGTTTAATTTGGTCCCAAATCTATAGTTCTTGTTTGATTTATTTAATTTAATCTTTCTTGAAGTTTACTAACACGTGTATTGTTTTGATAGAAAGAGGTACAAGACATCAAAGTGAGTAATTCAATTACTTAATTATTTCTTTTGATATAGAAATCATGTTAGGATGTTGATTTTGATTCCTAGTATCATGTTTAGGATGTTAATTAATATTTCTAATATCATGTTGATAGTATCATGTTTAGGATAGTGCTTTGATTATGATTTTTATTAGTAACATGCTAGGATTGTAATTAATCCGTTTAGTATCATACCTAGGATCTTGCTAATAATGTTTTAATGATATTATGATGATGATTGTTGTGTTTTATTATATGTTGCTTGATTATTCATGATTTATTGTTATTGCTTGATCACGCTTCTTCTTGCAGCTTTAAAAGGAATTTGTACTTGAAATCACGCCTAATAAGATAATTAATAATTTGATTTAGGCTAATATGATTTTAATTCAAGTAATCACCAATATTAGATTTATTTGTGCATTAATAATCAACCAACATATATTAAACAGGTTTAGGGCTAACTTGATGTGTGTATGTTGATCAGAAAACGCACATAAATATCATAAGAATTAACACCAGTACATAATTGAGTTTATGTAACACGTTTGATAACACTTTTTGAATTGTAAATTTATTAGATTTATATGTAACACTTTAGTAACATTTTTTAGAATGTAACACTCAATGTAACACTTTTAGCATAAGTAACATTACAAAGTATCACTTTTAAAATAGGTAACATTTTATGGTAACATTAAGAGGTGTTACATTATTTCTATATCTATAATCCATATATATAATAATTATTATTTAATTTAATAACTAATAACCCATATAAAAAGAGATAGATTAGTTACTATTATTATGAACAGTACTCGTCTTGTCTCGTAAAAAAAAAAAAAAAAAAAAAAAAAAAACCAAAATAAGTACTCGGCCATGCGCAATTACATTGTTACCCTCAAACTTAAGGGATTGCTAAATTTGCCCTTCCCCTTATTTCTTGCTTTCCTGCTCACCATCACTCATTCCCTCATTTCTTCTCTCTCCTCTCACTACCTTTTATGAACCCGTTTCGCAGTTCATGTTTGATGTTTTTTTTTTAGCCTTTGTTAAAAATTTGATTTGTTTAGACTTTAGGGTTGTTTTTTTTTTTTTTTTTTTTACTAATTGTTTTCTAAATTTTCTATTCTCTTGATCGTTTTCCACAATTTCTATCAATCATCTTCTTCATCTCCATCTCAGTTTCCTCCCAATGTCCGCAATTTGTTTGATTTTTTCGGTAGATTAATCAAACATCCCCTCTTTTCCCCAAATTTTACTTGCAAGGTAATCATAATGTGTTTCTATATCATCGAATTTTCATTTCAAAATCTAGGGTTTATCGTTAATTAAATATTGAGTCTGTATATTCAATATTCTTTCTTAAATTCGTAATAGTTATCCTATAAACCCTAATGTACTCGAAAATGTCAGATAAGGCATTGTCTTTATGGAATTTGGGGTTAATTTCTCTCTACTCCATTGAAGGCCTGAAGCACGTACTCTGAATTCTCCATTGATCCAGCTTCTGAGCTCTTTCGACAAGCCGGAGGATAATTTGTTTGCTTTTCTTGCCACCGTCAAACTGCTTAACATTAAGGTTTTCTTTTTTACCCCTGTTTTGGTAATTTCTAATGCTAGTTTTTAAATCCAATTTTTTTAGTGCATGTATATTCCTGAATATGTTAGAAGCATGAACTTTTTGAATTTGAATTTGTTTTGAATATTGTGGGTTGATTTGTGTATAATTGATGCTTTTTGAAATTAAATTTTGCAATTTGTGGGTTGATTTAATTCTATAATCATCCCAGAGTAGTTGCAGTGATATTTGGCATGAGTGTTGAGTTAAAATTGATATCTAACGTTGTTTATTGAGGCTGGTTCAATGTATTAAGTTGTGGTCATTGAATTGGGGATTGACAAGTGATTTCAGATTACTGGATTTGTGTGTTTATTTTTATTTTTTTTTTCACTTTTGCAAGCTGGTCTCCTGCAAATAATCTCAATCAATCAGATCTTAAGTTTGAGTATCATTGCTTGTAAAAGAGGGCTGCTTTGAGTATCATTGCTTGTGTATTATTTGTGTTTTGGTGAAAGAGGCCTGCTTTGAGTATCATTGCTTATGCATTGTTTGTGTCTTAGTGAAAGATGGCTGCTTTGAGTATCATTGCTTTGTGTGTATAGTGTAGTTAATGGCCGATCACTGAAAGTTATTAGTTAGAAACTACTCTGTATATGCTACTTAGAGTTTTATTAATTTGGTGAATCTTGATCATGGATTACTTATAATATTTTTTATTTTTAGTAAATGACTTAGTCGATTAAAATACATTAATGGTATTACTAATGGGGTCTAAAATCATGAATTTTGTGTACATATTTATTTCAATTTTATAATACTTTGATGGGTTGTGATGTATTATACTTTTGCTGCCTCATTTATGCTTTTCTCTAAATTTTAAGAACTTTTGCTATATGGATTAATTGAATCAAAGCATCTTTCTTATACGAATTATATGGAAGTGTTAGACTTGCACTTAGTTTGTGTGATACGGGTATTTAATTTTAGTGGGGATCTCTCAATCTTTTAATTTTGATGAAGAGGAACTGTGGGCTAGGTGGATTTAAGTTTTACGATCTATGGACCTGTATGAATTGCCTGACAATAACTGATCAAATGTAAAATTTATGATCTATTATATAAGTTTCTGATTTCATTTGATATGGACTTGATAGAACTTAATAGAAAAATATGAAAGCAAAAGGGGGAGCCAAAAAAGAGATATGAGCGCCTAGCACGGGAGAAGGGTGTATGCAAGTATTTATAATTAGGTTGGGAAGAGAGAAGGCATGCTTTCCCAGATATTTGTGACTGATGAAGAAAGAAGTCATGTTATAATGTAATAATCTGACATATTCTCTGCAGTCTTGAATTGGAACAATTCTCTAGAGCATGGCTTATTGGTCTAGTTCTCCTTTCAAATGCTATTAGATTGACACTGCTTCTTGGAAGCTGCAGCAGCGACTTAATGTGATCTAAAGGCTAATTGTAAGATTATGACAATACTGAAACTTTTAGATGTGGCAATTTAATATGCAGAACGAAAGCTTTACCCAGAATAAGGGAGAAATTTAGATATTAGTTCACCGTACATAGGTGCCTCAACATTACTCATACTTTTTTCATGTTTTGGATATCATCATACATATTTAGGCGTTACGTGACCATAGTTGCTGAAAAAATATCATTGGTTTTGAGAAATATTGTATTTTTTTTTAACAGTTGAGTTATTTATTTATTTATTTTTTAATTTTTAATTTTTTTATTTTTTGGGTTGTGACCTAGGTTTACCTAGCCATTTAGTCCTGAGAATTGTAATTTTCCATGGAGTGTCATTTAGTTCTGAGAATTGTAATTTTCCATAGTATCCTTAGGCCTTGGTTGAGGTGTCAAGGCTGAATCAAATTTTTCTTAATGTAATATCTGAAAAGTGGCTATTACGGGGATATTATACATCATTCTGCTTTATGTGCAATCATTTAGAGGCTCTTTTCATATTATATGCATGCTTCATCATTGTATGAGGAAAGAAATCCATTGTCAATTGCTAATATTTCTCATAGTATATTTGTGTACATTTTGTCTCTTATTGGAACCGTATCTGAATTGTTCTTAAGCTGATTATGTTCCATTCCTTGCTGGCAACTTTAGGTAAAGAGGTGATACATCACAGAGTTCACACTATGATGCTGTGGTTAATTTTTCTGGATTAAATTCAAGTAGAACTTCGTAGTCCACATGAAAAAAGTAAGAAGGTGGCTAAAGATCATGACGAGTATACACCTGAAGAAGAGGGTGAACTGAACCACTCAAGTTTGGAGCTGTCTTCTGCTGCTGCGGTCACTGTCACTGTTACTGTTGTTTTGCTGTTGAAACTGCTATTTGCTGCTGTTGTTACTGTTGTTTGCCGGTGTTACTGCTGTCTATTGCTGTTACTGCTGCTAGCCTGCTAGTGCTAATCTGCTGGGCTGATCTGCTGTATTTACTGCTAGCAGATGCTAGTCATGTTACTACTAGCTAGCCGCTGCTATCTGCGGTTATTACTTTGAGCGCTGCGTCTGTTTGCTACTACGCTTACTGTATTTTGGAATTTGGTGGACTAGAAATCGAAGTTGACATTATTTTTGTTTTTCATTATTAGATTGTTTAGCCAGAAGAAAAAATTTGTGTTTATGCATATTTTTTTTGTAAGAACAATAAAATGATTTCAGTTCAAATTATTTTCTATCGTATATGTTTGACATTCGTTGTTGTTGTATATGTTAATATTATTTTTATATTTAAAAAATAAAAAAAGTTGCATATTTTAAATAATCATAGTAGTATTTTTAGTAGTAGTAGTAATAACAATAATAATAATAAATGTTACTAATTAATTAATTAGGTGTTACAATAGTTTTCAAAAAGTGATACATGATGTCGAATAAAGTGTTACAGTAGTTCACAAAAGTGATATACAATGTCGGATAAAGTGATACTATATGGTTGAAAAATGTTACTAAAGATAAGTAAGTGTTACCTAAGAAAAAAGTAACACTTTAAAATGATATTAATAATAAAAAAAAAGTGTTACATAAGAAGGTTTACAGTAACACTTTTTGAAGTGTTACCATACATTACCCAAACTGTTACATAAAACCTTAGGGAACATGGGCAAATGTATCACCTACTAAAGTGTTACCTATTGTCTATAATAACACTTTTACCACTTTATGTAACCCTTTGGGTGTTACTTGAGGTTAGTAATAAGTAGAGGCCGATTTAGGGCGGGTTCAATCTCTTTTAGGTTGGATTCGTACCGTCATTCCCGAATATCCAGTCATGGTTCCAGACCACTATGGAGTTAGCGATCTCCGTGATCGTGAATGGGATGTAACCTTCACACCCGTGAACGATTTACAAGTTCCTAAAACTTGTTGGCGACTCTTTTATCTCTAACTTCCTTCCCTTTGGACGCCACCATGCCTAAAAGCATGATCACAATGGGGCTCAAGGTTGAGTTTGAAAAATTCCCTACAGTTTTGGCGACTCCACTAAGGAGGATTTCTAATTTTGATTCCTAAAATTTATTTTGGCAATTGATTTAGAATGAGTGGATGAGACTTGAAAGATTCTAGATATTCATGTGCGTAATTTTGATTAACATTGTGGCATAAGCATGAAAAGGTTCGCATTGGAAAGACCATCCGTAATGCGTAAAAAACATAGGATTTTTACACGTAGGAAAAACTGGAAATATCTTTCACAACTAAAATCGAATAAACACTGTGAAAAATTGGAAAAAACATCAAACATAGAAAATTGTCGCGAAGCGTTGGAACTGTCGCGAGACGACAAAGTTTATCGCCAGACGACAACTTTATCGCGGCGCGATAGAGTTGTTGCTGCGCGATAACCTCTGTTTTCTCGCATCGAGTTCTCGCGACATTGCACCATAATTCTGTCTTCTTGTTTAACCCGATTCTAGTACTGTTTTGCCGACTTTACTTCCTGATTGAGTTTTTCCGACTTTTCTGAACCCATATGTGTTCTACATATGGTCTTAGCCCCTGGGAATTCACGCTCCATCCACCCTAATGAACGCTCCGTGCAACAATGGGTGCATCCGAGTTTGTGAATTCACCAAACCATGGAAGCAAATTTAACTTGCGGGGTCCCATCCATCTTGCCAACCCTTCCAAAGGTAAGGTTCCGCACGATGCATCCGGACTCATAACCATGGACCCTTTTTGGACACCATAATCCTTTACCTTTAAAGAACTAGAGGCATGGTTAGGTTGCAAACTCATTGCATCATATTGTGACTACTTGACTATTTGTGCATTCCTTACTTGGGCATACCTCATTTGTGATTAAACTACCCCTTTGTGTTGACTTGTTTTTATAAATAAAGTCTTAACAAACTAACCAAGGACTAAAAAGGACTTTGCTTAATTAATTGGTTAATTAATTCAAACCTATAAAGTCTAAACATACTCGACCTAGTAGTCCATAGGCTTAAACCTTCGAAAGGATCATCGAAAAATAAACTAGATTGACGTTCCATTATTGGTGCGAAAATTTAGTCTGTGCCGCAGAACGACAGGTCCATGCGCCGCGATGGAACCAGCGTTCCGCGACAGTTCCATCGCCACGCGATGGTTCGATTTTTTCCTTTCCGAGTCTTTGCGTCGAGTCTAATATGCCATGATTAACCGGTTTAATCAAACGAAGACTTAACTTAGTCTTTGCTTAAGTCTAATCACATACTTAGTCCCATGGTCATCACAAGAGTCTTAAACATATCACTTTCTCTCACACTTTTTACATACTTTTTTCACACCATGACCACGTCTTAGGTCCATGCATGAGTCGCCCTTTCCGTGGTTTGAGTTGAGGGTCCATTTTATTCCCATAAATTTCCATATCTTTCCACATATAACCTTCTACATATTTTCCTTTTACATCACCTTCCCACATACTTTCCATACATTACACTTTCACTCTTAAATACTTTCCACATTCACATGCTTTCCTCTTACATGCTTCCCCCATACATATCATTCCCCTCATACACTATGATCTTTTCCCATCTATGCATGTTGAACTGAGTTTGAGTCAAGTAATTGACAATATGTGTCCATGATTTCCCTTTCCACAGCTTTTGGTCAAGGAAAGAAGGACGCTTAATCAAAGATAATACTTTTGTACAAGTACTCCTTTTTTATTATTGACTAGTTCGAATAAGAAGAAAGATAAGAATGGCAGCCAGTCAAAAAGATTTTGAGAAACTTCAAGAAACTGTGAATGGACTTGCTGAAATGCTCCAGGAACTTAGCACTGGAGTCGAGAAGAATGAAGACCCTAACAAGCAAGTACCATTCGAGACAATCAAGCGCATCGAAAATAGCTTAAGCTGAATCTCCAATGACTACAAGTACCTTGGCATAAACACTAAGGGGGTCTCAATGGATAAGGAACTTCTTCCGCACACAAGTTTTGTGCCAATGACATCCCTAAATTCAAAGCCATCGACAATCCCTACTTTCACCTGAGAGCTTTAGAGACAGTCATGGGAATCAAGGGGGTTGATAAGAAAGCTTTCCCCTCACTTTTCTTTCTTTCCTTAGAACCAGTATGTCAACAATGGTTCTTTTCCATGGACTCTAAGAAAATGGCTACTTGGGATAGTATTACGCATACCTTCTGTTCCGGGTATGGATTTAGGGGTTCTGACTGGAGCAGGCCGGGTCCAGCTGGGTAACATACACAGGGTGACAAATGTAACTACCCTCGGGGGTGGCTCGAGGAACCCCCCTTTGATGCTTAAGTTAGAGAGTGTTTAGAGAGATAAAGTGTACTTAAAGAGATAGAGAGAATGCAATAACATGTGTGTTTAACCTCTTTTTTGTTGTACTTGGTTCCTTATTTATAAGTGTAAGATCACCTTTAGGCGGAGTCATACTTGGTCAGCCTGCGGGCTGACTCTATCGGGCTGGTGAGCCCCTCCGAGTGTTCTTTTAGCGGTGAGTGCGTACCCCGTGAGCGAGGCTGGAAGCCTGGTGATAGCCCAGCAGGAGTTATCCCATACAACTAGCCCCTCAAGAGGTGGTATGAGTTCACTCATGCTGGCTCTTGTCTGAATGGTGTGCTCCCCCTGGATGAGCTTAGCTGGGAGGGAATAGCTCAGCAGGAGCTATCCCATACAACTAGCCCCTCAAGAGGTGGTATGAGGTCACTCATGCCAGCTATTTTGAGCGTGTAACCTTTTCGGTAATTGCTCAATAGGTCGTTCGGATGAGACATCCTACATACCTCTAGCCCCTCAAGTCTCAGGATTGTGCATGCGATTCTGAGACTTGGGAGGATATGCTACTAAGTGTTTAAGACAGAGTTTGTTGTCACTTGTTGATGATGGCCGTCTCTATGTGTGAAGGAATTATTTTATTTGCGTCAAAGTATGTTGATTACTCTTGCTAACGCTGGAGGGACAATGGGTTTGCAGCGAGGGATGCTCGATTATTCCCGTCAAAGTCTGAGAAATGGCGAACTTGCAGGGAGGAATTTCGATTACTCCCGTTGAAGTCTGATTTTTTTTTTTAAATTTTTTTTAGGCGGGAATAGTGTTTGCATGCGTGACACGTGTTAGTCATCCGAGGGTCAGTTTATTTTTACTGAAGTGACATGGTGGTTTGGTCTTATTAATTAACTAAACCGCCTATTAACTCTTGCATTAATTTCACTGTCTCCCTTTTTACTTCCCTCTTTTCATTTTTCATTTTTTCATCTTCTTCTTTCAAATTCTTCGTTATCCTTTCTCCTCTCGCCATCACTCTTCTTGCAAACAATCGCCGCTTCTTGTTATTGTTGTAAGTTCTTTCATTTTTCTTCCTTTGTCTTTGTTTTGTTTTATTTTTCTTTAGTATTTGCTTATTTTCTTCAATTTTTTGTCCTACATTGAGACTATTTTTCCCTTTGGTTGTAGTTCAAAGTCCTCGTCTCCATTTTCAACTTTTGGTGCCGCCATTGTTATTGTGTCCCCTTACTCTTGTAATTTTTCTTCAAAAAGGTACTTCCTTTGTGCCTTTCTTTTTATTTTGTGTACTCAATTGTGTTTCTTTTCTTTTTTCTTCGCAAGATTGAGTCTTTTTCCTCGAATTTGACTGTTCCTGTTATTTTTCCCATTGTTGTTGTTTATTTGCTCTTTTTTGCTTCTTCTCTGCAATTTTTTTCTCTTTTCTTGCTTTGTCTCTTCTGAATTTGCTTTTGGGGCGCAACTGATTTTTCTTTTTACTCCTCAATTTTCTTCATCTTTTGGGGGTCCTTTTGTTGCTTGTAGATCTTAAGGACAGTCAGAATCCGAGTTCTCCTTCTGTTCGTATCGAGTACGCTTCTTCCCTAGAGTCGTCTCGCTCAGGTGAGCTTTTTGAGCGAACTTCTTTTGCTTCTCCTTCCTCTCCCCCATTCCCTTGCAAGTAGTTAAGCCGGGTGACATGCTTCCTATTGGGAGCGGGGTGAGTACTGTTGCAACCCCTCAAGTTGAATCTGGGTCGAGTGGTAGTCGTCCCGTTGCCGGCAACGCTTTTCGCCCTTTTCGTTCTAAGACTCGCCCTGATTTCTTTGATTCTTATTGCAAGCGGGAACTCACTTATAATGGAGTTGCCCTCTCGCATGTCATGCGCTTGAGAATGCGCGCAATGCATCATAAACAATTAGCTGATGAGGTAAAGGCTAATCC